TTTCCTCAAAGGAGCTGCATCCAACTAACTTTGGGTGGTGTTTGTTCAAAGATGCCATTGAACCCAGCAATTGAGGGACACAGCTTTTTGAGTTTGAAAGTTTCTTGGTCATGACTAGGCCGCTCAGGTCTCTTGTGATTGTGCCCTACCCTGTGTGTCCTAGAGGACCCCCATCCACCTTATTGCCTCCTGCTCTCCAGGTAGTGAGTCAGTCCCGTGGCCAGGTTCCATGCATGGAGAAGTCACAGGACTAAGAACAGCACCAGACTGCCAGACTGAGTATGGAGGGCCCAGCTTCCTGAGGGCTGCGCTTGCAGAGGGCTCGTGGGCAACCCTGAGGAGGCTCTCCTTCTGTCAGATGTCTACCTGCTGCTAGCAATGCAGTGCTGAGGCCTTCACTCAAGGGCAGATAGCGTTTGCCAGTGTTTGTGCTTTGTGTACACTACAGTGTGCAGTATTTGCTTATCTGCACATGCATGTGCACACTGATAGCTCTGGCCAAGAGCCCCAGTCTGGTGGGGTGTGTGTATGTGTGTGCGTGTGTGTGTGTGCGCGCGCGCGCATGCGTGCGCACGCGTGTGTGCACCATGCACAGTGGGGCTGTGGGTTCAGCCACACTGAGACACAGACTCCTGGGTGGGGTCCTGGTCACCACAGGTTGGAGCTGTACTGACTACCCTGGAAGCACCCTCAGGGAGGGCCAGACTGTGATGTCCAGAGTCAGCCTTTAAACTCAAATGCAAGCCACTTGGTGGTGGTGACCCTGACCAAGGTTGCCTTAGGGAGTGTGGGAATCAGACACTTGGGCCCCTGTCCATGGACATGCCCAGCCAGTGTGACAGATCTGTACTAGGCAACCCTGGGAACCACATGAAAACATAAGGGTTCAGGAACAGCCTCCCTCTGTCATGCCCTGACCCCTCAAAAGTAGGGACGAGTCCAGCTTAGCCATGTGGATACTCCTGCTGCTCTTCTGGACAATCTCTGGCCTTAAAGTTTCTGTGCTACCAAGGTAGTGGATGCACAGCTTTTTTTTTTTTTTTTGTAAATGAACTTACTTTTGTGGTGTGTGTCTTTCTCCCCATCAACACCACTTCTCATTTAAAATGTTATCTTCCCCCCACCTGTCCTTTGTGCCCCCCCAGGGAGAGAGGGGCAACCTAGACTCACCCTGGTGTAGTCAAGGTTATGGTGATAAATCCTGGGGTATTGTCACTTCTATTCGGAGTAAATTGGCTGGCCGCTTTCGGGCTGAAGGAAAGATAATTTGCTGTAGTATTTCAAATGGATTAGAAATGGATTTGAAGGGAAAGTTCATGCCTCCCATTACAAAGGCGAGAAAGAAGACTATCTTAAGGCACTGTTCCCTCCCTGGCCTTCATTATCCACGCTTAATACCTTTCCTATTTTCCAGCGTTAATGAAATTTCCTGGCGGCATGGGCCCGCCGGACGGATGGGAGAAGCCTTTAGATCTGCGGCTCCCGTTGCAGAAAAGGAATTACAGAGCCGTGCCGTGAGGGCAGGCGCTCGCAGGGTCCTTGGCCCCGCTATTATCTCATTAATTTTATCCCCTCTTCTCTGTACAGTTCGTTTCCAAAGGCTGTCCTCTCCATTAGGGTAACAATTTACTGGAGTGCTGTGACACCCATGGCAGTGAAACGCTACAGGCCCCACCTGGCGCCCTCCTGCCTCAAGTTCCAAAGCCAGCAGGGCCCAGCAGGGTGGCAAGAGGAGGGGCAGGTGAATGACTCAAGACTGGTCTTTTCCCTTACCTGCTCAGGACTCTTAGCAGCCCAGAGTTTCTGGCCAGGCCTTCCCAAGTTCTCCCCCAGTCAGCATTACAAATGTGGATGCTTTACAAGTGTTCCAAGTTCCTGGGTAAGTGTAGCAGTAGGCAGTGCCTGTCCCCATTCCCTGGAGTCCCTGGGCCCTGAGGCCTCTCCCCAGCCCTGGGCATGCATACCTGGGACATCAGCAGAGGGACTGCCACACCTCCTGTTCAAGTAGAGCCACAGATGTCCCATATCTTCTGTTAAAATCTAATGAGTTTTTTAGGAAGGGAAAAGGGAACAAATTGATTGTTCATGATCATCCATAAGAATAAACATGTGGAGTAACCAAGACTTTCTGGGGAAGAAGTCTCTACAGAGCTGTCAGTCCTAGAAATCAGTCCTCTGTGCAGCTCACATCTCCACTGGCAAGTACAGGCGGTGGGTGTGCTTTTGGCTTCAGCTTCAGGTTCCTTGAGTGTAGAACCAAGGGGTGCATACTTCATGGATGGAAACTTAAGGAGGTGGGAGTACTCTCTGCAGTTCTGGCAGGGGGGGCCTGCTGGTCCCATGGCCACATCACATTGCTTCAGTTTTTTTTTTTTGTTTTTTTTTTTAATCTTAACTCTTTTTTTTTTTTTTTTTTTTTATTTTATTTGAGAGAGGGGGGGGGGGGGGGGGGGGTGTGTGTGTGTGGCCAGCTCAGCCCACCAGGGGGCGGGGCTGGCTGGCATGTGGTGCTGGGGGATTGAACCGCAGTCCCCGATGCTTTGCTAAGCTTGTTCCAAGTAGGTGCTTTAGACCACTGAGCCATCTCTCCAGCCCCTTCAGTTTGTTTTGTCTGTGTGGTTGTACTGGGAAAGAATGGGCAGGGAGCAGGCTCTCCCCCTTTAATGCACTTATCAGTCCCCCAGGATACCTTTGGAGGTAGTCTCAGAGAGGGTCCTCAGTCAGAGCTTATGCCATAGATGAGTTCTTGCAGAGTTGGGCCCTGGCCTGGCACCTGCTGTCCTCTGCTTTCTGGAAGCTGGGGACTGACTCAGCTGTGCTGTAAGGAGAGGTGGGGGGGCGCTTGGCTTGGGTGTTATGAGGCAAGGTCTGCCTGGGTACAAGCAGGGCCTAATGAGGCAGAGACAGAGTTGGCCACCGCACCTCCCAGCACTGCTGTAGCCCAGCCTAGCTGCACAAGACAGCTGTCCTGAGGGCAGGCTCTGGCTGCCAGGTTGGGCATATCCAGGAGCCTTTTGGCCTCAGGCCAAGTGGGCTGAAGTGGCCACTGCCCTGGTCCTACTTCTTGACTGTGGTTTAGGGTCAAATTGGGTATCTCTTGTGTCTTGGCCTTAGCTCTCATAAAGTATCCAGACCATCTCCAAGCCTACAGGACTGACAGGGTTCTGTAAGTGAGGGGCTGGCTTGGAAAACCTCTCATTCCTGGCCCCTCCTCCCACTCTAGCCTGGGCCCAGTGCAAACTGAGGGTACAGGGGTCTGGTCCCAAGGCCAGATGAGAGCCTGGAGCCCTGAGCCTGAATGAGTTCTCCTGGAAAGGGTTAGGGCTAGCAGGATGCTCACAGGGGCTTCTGGAGTATGCAGTGGGTGGATCCAAGAGACAGGCAGACAACTCACCATAGCTAGCTCCTTGGCAGGACTCTTTCCCTCTATGATTGGTGTTTGTGAGCTTGAATTTTAATTAAGGAAAACTGGGTTAAGTGCCTTCTGTGGCTGCCCCACCGCTATGTTTGTACTTACACCGCAGCTTTGGTCCCCTGAGTGGCTAGCTCGCTTTGCTCGCATTATCTCACTAATGGGCCCTCCGAGGCCACTGGCTGGCGAGAGTTATCCCAACTTGCAGGTGGAGACTTGAGGCTCAGAAGGGCTGTGGTGCTGAGTTCTGTGGAACGCAGCTGACCCCATCAGCAGGGCTGCTCTCCCCAAGACCCCCTTTCCGGGTGGCTTGCCCTGGGTGGCAGGGCTGGCTCTGAGAGTCAGTGCTGTAGGCACCCTCTCCAGCCAAGGGAGCGAGCCCCCACCTCCTGTTGCTGGGCAGCCCAGATCTGAGGGCCTCTGTCTGTGGCATGGCCAGCCTGCTCCAGGCAGAGCTGCTGGTCCTGGTTCCAAGGCCTCAATGCACTGTAGCCAAAAGGGGTACACTGGAGGATCCAGAGGAAGAGGCATGGCCTGTGCCAGGCCTGTGCCAGGCCTGGGCCTGCTGCCTCCAGTTCCCACTTCGGCTGTGCACAGGGCTGAGGTGCCGGCTGCTGTGGGCCCTGAGGATGGACGTCTGATACCCGTTGCCTGGGTGTGCCAGTGGGGTGCAGTGTATATACTCAGAGGCTCTAGTGTTGTAAGCAGATTCTGAGTGAACATGGAAGTAAGCTTACGTAAACAGGTTACTGCTGCTGGAATGCGTCCTGAGGGTCGGTGTCCATAGTGGGCCCCCTGGGGACCTGATGCTAGGCACTGAGCGTTCTCAGGGACAGTCTGCCCACACCACAGTTGGACAGGGCCTAGAGGACAGTTGCGAGTGGTGACAGTGTCAGGGCCTTTGCCCAACTTGGCCTGCGCTTGGGCTTCTTTAGTAGGACAGGCTCAAGAATAAGGAAGGAGTAGTAGGGGGCTCCTGAGACTCTCTAAGTCCCTCTAGCCCAGGTCTGCTGTTCTGCCTGAGCTGTCACTGTTAGTTCCATGCCCCTACTCCAGACAGCCCCCACATTTCCCTGACACAGGTGGCCAGGCTGGGGTCTGCGAGGCTGTCTCCTGCATGCTCTCTCTGCAGGGCTGTCTGAAAAGGAAAGGAAAGGGGGCAGGACAGGTGGTGTTGCCTCCTGACCCCATGGCATCTGCTGTCCTGAGGCCAGGACAGTGTGTTCCAGTGTCTGAAGCTGGCCTCCAGCCTTGGAAGACACCCGATGGGTCAGGGCACTGCTCGTACTAGTCCAGGCTGATTGGGTCCAAAGCAAGGATGTGTACTGAAGGAGACCAGCCCCTCCCTGTGGCCCTTTGTAAGCACATGAGTTCCTTGCTCATTTGGATGATGCCTCGTTCTGGGACTTCATGTCATTCTTTTGTGTCCCTGCAGGAGAGCAGGGAAAAGGGGGCTCCTGGTGGCTGGATCAGTAGCCAGTGACTGTCCTGGCTACTTTGTATCCCAGGCAGAGAGTATCCCAGGCTGGGTTCTGCACCTGGTGCTTATCCCAGGCCATGTTTGATGGGCATTTTTCTGTCTTTGCAGGTCCTTAGTGCTGAACCGCCTACGTCCAGTAGTCACTGGGGCTGGCAAAGCCCCACCTGGGTCCCCTCGGTGGCGGAGCAAAGGCTACCGCTGTATTGGAGGGGTCCTCTACAAGGTGTCAGCCAACAAGCTCTCCAAGACATCCAGCCGGCTGGGCGACGGGGGCAGCAGGGCCCTCCACCGCGCAGGTGAGGTGGGGTGCTAGAGTGTGGTGGGGCATTGCAAGCCTTGCATGGAGGCTTCTCTGGGCCTTGACTCCAGGCTTTGCCCCAGGAAGGGGACACAGGGACAAGGAGAGGGGTCTGGGGCTTCCAGAGAGTCAAATGAGTGCCTGCCAGTGAGCCACATCCCAGCTTGGGAATTAATTTTACACTTGGATACACACAGCCTTGGTAGTGGTCCCTATTGAGGTCAGCAGGGCAGCCGGAGCAGGGAGGGTGCTGGCAGGCCTTCTGCCCACTATCCCTTGGGAAGGCCCACGTGGCACCTATCTCTCGCTTGTCTGAACAGCCCCCTTTTTTCCAAGGGGGGTGCCTGTGTTTTGCTCCTGGACGAAGGATGAGCCAGGTATAGCGAACATGCCCCGGCGAGCGGACACCTGAGACGCGGTGCCCTGATCACACTGGTGATGCCTCGACAGCTGTGTCTGGAGGCAGTCGCTGCTGCCTGCACGGGCCTGCGCAGCTGGGCAAACGGGCTGAGGGGAAGGAGATGCCTTGGATGTGCTTATTGTGTAGATTAACTAGAAAAATATTTTGGTTTCAGTCCAATTTTATCCCCTTCCTTGTCCATGGGGGGCGAAGGCAAGAAGGTAGGTGGTGGGGGTTGGAGGAGGCCCATCTGCCTCCAGCCACCTCATCCTGCCAAAGGGGCTGGACAGAGAAGTGGCTCCACTGGGATAAGGTACAGTGCTCCAGGCAAGGTCTGTGGAGGTCAGGGAGTTGTCCGTCCCTGGAGGCCAGTCTCTCCAGCTGCCCTACCTGGCTGTGATCCCAGGGCCTATCTGGGACCCAGACTTCCACACTGCCATTTTTTAAAGCAGGATGTCCTGGGAATAGGTTTTCTTAGAGCAGCCCTTGGCATGGGGTCTGCCTTTCTACAGGCCTCATGTCCCTATCCTCGCCTCTCAGACCTCATGCCTATGGCTTCTCTTCTGCTCCACCCATGAGTGGTCATGCGAGTACATGAGGAGCTAGGGTAGTGGGTACAGGGAGTGGGTGAGTGACGGCCTCCTAAGCCCCAAGGGGACGCCACCTTGCGTTGCGGGTAAGCCCTCTCAGTGCCCTATGGTGCCCATTCTGGTTATTTCTGACTGTAGAGCCAAACCATGTGGAGGTGACCACCACCTCTTGACAGCTGCATCCCCACTGTGTGTGTGGCACCTGACCCCATGCCAATGGCTCCTCCCCATTGTCCCAAAGGTTCCGTCCCCTCACACCTCCATATTCTCCTTCTGTGGGTAGGTCCTGCTACCTATATAATGCTGGGCTGGAGAGCCTGTCGGGTGAAGCTGTGCCCACTGCCCCAGCTCTTCACATGTCCTCATGTCCTCAGGAGATGGGGTGAGAGATGCAAGGCCAGCAGGGCAGATGGCAGTTTGGACCTGAGCTCTTTACTGGCAGAGGACTTTCCCCTGGAGGATGGCTGGGGAGAATCACACTGCTGCTTCAAGGCTGTGAGGAAACAGGGCAGGCTGGGCTGTCACTCCTCCTAGGGAAGCTGCCTACCTGCATGGGGACATCTGGAGCCCAGTGCTGAGCTTTGCAGAATCTTCCCGTTTTTCACATGTGGCAGAACCTGGCAGACAGAGTTCCTGACGTCATCACACTATAGACTGTCTGTCCCTTGATCACTGGCCCCCACCTCAGCTCCTCCCTTGACCTGAAGTTGACTGACAGCTAATCCCCAAGCCCTTCAGGCACCTCGTACTCAGACTCCAGGCAGCCACCCAAAGCCTGCCCTGCTCAGCCTCATCTGGACACACTTGCCCAGAGAGGGTGCCAGGGGTCCTGAGGCCTCTTCACTGTTGCCAAATGGGCTTTGGCAGCCTCTGGGATTTATAATGTTTCAGTGGGGCTTAATCCTTCCCTTTTCAAGGAGGAGATGTGGTCAAGTGGTCAGGTACAGAGTCTAAGGGGTGGGATGGGGGCAAGTAGCTGAGTGGAATGGACCTGACTCCAGCTGCCCAGACCTCCCGTGTGGCCCCACTGCACTCAGAGGAAGGTGGATTGCTCCCAGCGTGAGCTGCTGCTGACTGGCGCACTTAGATGAATCATAATTAAAGAAATAAATTTCCTTCCCGGGTGTCAGCGGAACTTTGACTTCCATAAGAAAGTGAAGCCTTCCTTGGGAGGGGCAAAGCTGCTTCTCCACACCCTTGAGGACAGAGTTGGCAGCAACCCTGAAACAGCCCCTCCCTCCCAGCTCCACCTGTGGCTCATAGCATCCCCATGGACCCTCCCCTACACCTTAGGTCTGGGGCCTGTGTCTTCGGCCTGATGGCCTGCTAGTCCCTGTGGTGGTCAGGAGTCCCAAGTCTGCTAGCGGAGCTGCCTGCCCTGATCTCTGGCTATAAGGCTAGTTCTGCTTGTTATAAGTCTGCAAGGCCTCAGGGCTAAGGAAGAGGTGGGCTGTGGTCCCTTCTGTGCTGCTGACCTGCTACCCCATCTTCCTGTGAGTCTGGTGTCTAGTTCCCCTTCCAGAGTGCCAAAGGTTGCACAGCAAGGCTCATGAGGGAGGCACTGTCAGGTGCACCATCAGGAGCCAGAGCCACTGCGTCACTGAGGCCTCACCTCTGCGATTTGGGTCAGGGTAAGATGACATGTACTGTGCCCTGTCAGGGTGTAGTGGGCTCTCAGCTGAGCTGGTCCCTCCTCTCACTCCGTGGGAAGGGGCACACTGCTGCCAGGTGGACCAGAGCAAGAACCAGGGACTGAGGAGCTCTGACTTGTAAGGAGATGAAGTGTCTGCCCATGAATCCCTTGGAGGGCACCAGGCAGGTGGCAAGGCACCTATGGGGGCACAGTGAAGGCAGCGGGGCTGGAGGGAGCCAGCGCCTATTTCAGCAAGCGCTCAGGAAATGAAAAGTCCCCAGAAGCCAGCAGAGGTAGCTCCGTGTGCTTGGGTCAGGTCGATTTGTTTGTCGAGCTCTTTGTACCTCCCTTGCCTCTTCCAAGCCAGCTCCTTTATGTGCATTTTTAACACCAAAAAGTCTAAACTCCCACTGTGAGCCCCACATTGGCATGTTTTGAAAAGCAGAATGAGGAAAGGGGAGAAAAGTGTCCTCTTTAGGTCCTGACAGGAAGCATGTGATACCTGTGTGTCCCTGACCTGGAGCAGATGGTTCCAGCATCACTGGAAGCCTGGGTGACAGCTCAGGAACCAGTTCTCATTGACAGGTTATCAAATTGTGTGTCACTTGTAGTGACGGTTGGCAAGTGCAGGGGTGCATCCATGCCACCTGGACAGGGTTCCACTGCCACCCTGTGGACAGGTGTCCCCAACAACAGAAGCTACCATAGGTCCTCCTTCTTGTCTCTCCCAGATACCCGTCATTCTTCTTTTGATCTTGTTGACACCCCCCCACCCTGTTCCCATGTCCCTACGTACACCCTACCTATGCTCCAGGTCACTAATCAGCCCCTACCTGTCGCGCAGCTAGGAGATAGGGCCAGCCACCCCACAGTGAGTGCTCTCCTCCCATAGCGCTCTCACAGACTCCGCCCTGGAGATGCTCCCTTTGACCTGGAGGTCACTGAGGCAGAGTGGGAACAGCCCCTGGCCAGCGGGGCCCCCAGAGCTCCAGCGGGCAGCATCTGGCCTCCCAGCTTGCCCAGCAAAGCCTCATGGTATCCCCTGCAGCTCAGGACAGTAGGCAGCCCCTGTCTCGGGGGTACTGGTCTCGTGTTGGGTCCTGTATCCCTGAGGTACCAGTGTGTCGTGGCACTGTGCAGCCCTCCCTGGGGAGGGTATGGGGAGCTCAGAGTTACTAGATGGTGAAGGAGAAGGGTCTGAGCTTCCAGTCTGTGGGACTGGAAGGAGTTAGGGTCTGGACAGGCCATGGACCATGAAGGGCCTGGGAAGTGAGGGCCAATGGGGACAGCTAACAGATACTCTGGGGACACTGATTAGAAAGAACGCTCCTAGAACGTCAGCCCAGACCCACACCCATGCACAGACAGAGGAGTAGAGACTTTGTGGTCTGTGGGGCCACGCACTTTGGAATATCCCTTTTTAAAACCTGGATAGCTTTGTCATTACCTCAGCCCCTCAGAATTTCTGAGTGATGTCACTTTTGCCTCCTGGCGCCGTATTCATTTCAGCAGCTGCTCTGTAGGAAATTGGACCTGGTCTAGGAAGGTCATGTGCGTATTTGAGGAAGACAGAGAAGCAGACTCGAGCAGGCCCTGCCCTACTCTGCCCCAAAGCCCAGGGCTAGCCTGTGCCTTTAAAAGGCAGGTAGCTGGCCAGGCCCAGTGGCACATGCCTGTGATTCCATTTACTTGGGAAGCTAAGGTTGACCAAGAGTTTGAGGCCAGCCTAAGAGCAACTTAGCATGTTGTTAAGATGTTATTTCTAGGTAGAATTAATAAGCTCTGGGGATGTAGTTTAGTAATAGAGTACTGCCTAGCATGTATGTATGAGGCCCTAAGCTCAATCTGTAGCTGTCACATGCGCATGCGCACACATACACACACGCACGCGTATGTAGTAGATGTAGGCCCTAGGTGCCTGCCCATGCCACCTGAGCCCGGGTCTTGAGGAGCTGTTCCTGTTGTTGCTCTTTCCTCTTCATACCACATTAGTGGCCCTAGAAAGTCTGGGCTCATCCTTGCACATGTGCTTGTGAGGACCGTCTTGATAAGGTACTTTTAAAATTCAGTAACTCCATGTCACAAGGTACCAGAACCACAGTTGGCATTTTAAGCTTTGCCACCACTTTTCTCTGTTGTATAGTTTTCTTTTGATTTCATTTTATAACTCTTTAAAAGAACTTTTTATCAGGAATTGAACTCAGGGCCTCACACTTGCCAGGCAGGTGCTGCGCCACTGAGCTATCTATATTCCCAGCTCTACAACCCTTTAACAGTGTTAAAAAAAAACTCTTCTTCCTATAAAGCCAGTTCATTTGTGGCTCATATTTGCCATTCTTGTCTAAGCTAATCCCTCCAGTCCTGTTAGCATTTTAGTCCCACTTCCAGGCTCTGGCAAAGGGAGGTACCACAACTGGCACCAACACCATTTGCAAAGCTTCTTCCCTGGTGCCAGGCTAAGGACAGAGCCTAGAGAGACATCCTCTGTTCAGTCACTGCCTCAGCCTAAGGACCTGTCCCATGAACAACCCACTTGCCCAGGTGGGCACCTAGGGGGATCAGGAGCCAGCAGGCAGGGAGGTCCAACCAGCACCCTGTGTGGGTCTGGGGAGCCCCGCTAGCTGGAGTCAGCAGAAGCCAGCTGGCCACCTCAGTCCTCACCCTGAGCAGCCGTTGCCCTTCTGGGGCCTCCTGGCACACTGGCTTAGAGGGCACCAGGAGTCCAGCACTGCTTACCCTAGGGCAGAGCCAGATCCAGGGCCCCAGGGTGTTGTGTCCACAGAAGACAGGGCTGGGCTGTGCCCTGAAGACAGCAGTAGTGATGAGCAGTGTTGGGACCCCAAAGGGGTCTTGGTCAGGTGGGCCGGCGTGGAGAGGGTGTGAGGCTTAGCTCCGGGTGCAGCGGAAGTTGGACAGGGCTTTGCCTGATGTGACCCCACTTCTTTCTGCTACAGGCCGATTGGACCCTGCCAGCAACTGCAGCCGCTCCTTGGCCAGGTGCGTCTTGTGGGGCTGGGCATGTGGGGCTTCCCGCTTATCCTTGAGCTCACGTATCTTTCTTCCTGTCTGCAGCCGGGCTGTTCAGCGCAGCCTAGCCATCATCCGGCAGGCTAAGCAGAAAAAAGAGAAGAAAAAGGAGTACTGTATGTACTACAACCGCTTCGGCAGGTGCAACCGTGGTGAGCTCTGTCCATACATCCACGACCCTGAGAAGGTTGCTGTGTGTACCAGGTGCCCTGCCCAGCCTTGCTGCGTGACTTAGGGGCTGAGGGAGGGGCCGGCACTATCCTGGCAGCCCTCCTCACACCCCCATGTCCTGGCTGCAGGTTTCTTCGGGGCACATGCAAGAAGACAGATGGGACCTGCCCCTTCTCTCACCACGTATCCAAGGATAAGGTGGGTGTTGCCTGGCCAGCAGGCTCCCTTCCCCAGGCACTTTCGGTTTTCCCTGGGCTAGAGATGGCAGCCGCTGTCCTCAGGTTCCCTGTCTCTTAGCCCTCTACCTGTGTGTCTGGGCAGTGCCACAGTGGCCTCTCACTACAGCTGCTCACAGCACCACACAGGGGAGTGTCCCTTTCCTGTTCACCCAGCACCCATTCTTAGGAGACCCAGCTACTGTGTACACACACACACACACACACACACACTACACGTGTGAGGGGAAGGCTGTCCCACAGGTACCTTCTGGGCACAGGGCTGAGGCCTCAGCTGTCCCCTCAGGCCTGGGCTTGGCCAAGAGTATGCATCCTGTGGAGGCCAAAGGCTCTCCTGGGCAGAGCAGATGAGGCAGTAGGGAGGTGAGTCCTGGAAGGAAGGGCTGAGAGTGCTGAGGGCTGGGCTCAGTGCTGGCTGAGCACACAGCGTGGAAGAGGCCTGGAGGCCTCACGCCATACCCAACGCCGGCCCACTGGCCCCTGTGAACATGGCCTGGCACAGTTAAGGGGAAGGGCGAGTGTACAGCTAGTGCGAGGGGGGTGGTGTGGGCGAGGCCCACTGCTGCTCCGACAGCTTTTCCCCTTGAGGAGCTTGGAGAGAATCAGCATTTTTCTCCCTAATCGAGCTTCGAAACTCTGTCGTGAGCAATTTGGAAATTCACGTCGAGTTTCGGGTTCATTAAGCGCCAGCTCCAAAGCCGGCACACACTCCAAGCTGTCTGATATGTGGGCCCGCACCAGCGCCCTGAATTAATGTTATTGTTATTTGTGTGGACGTGGTGGGGTGCAAACAAGGTTAATTGAAATGAGAACGCAGTTTCCTCTTGGTAACGGCCCCGCTCTGACAGCCAGGAGGAGCTCCGTTTGGTGTAAGAGTTGGCTTTATTATCCCTTTTTATTAGAGCTAATTTGGGCTCTATATCAAAAACCACATTAAGGGAATTGTCTACAGCCGCACTACCACCAGCCCCAAATGGGGCCCCCAGCCCCTCTCCCCTCTGCGGCTGCAGTTAAAAGACAATTAAAAATAAACTCTTGCTCACTAAATCACCCTTTGTTTCTTTGATTTCTCCCTCCTTCCCTCTCAGCTGCAGGGCTCCTGTGCGGCTTCTCCGCCCTCCTTAGCCTCAGCCAGGGCCCTACTTCTCCCTTCCCCCACTTCACTCCAGAAAAGTGACTTTTTACAGCCTCTTGACTCCAGGACCCTGGAGAGCTCATTACCCTGCCTTGGCCCTTCATGCTGAGCAGCCCCCAGCTGGCCAGGAACTTCAGTGTGGTGGTCTGGAACCTCAGGGACTAGGATCTGACACAGGACACGGGAGGGACTGCAGGGAAAGTTTCCCATGGGCTACATGTTGACTCATGCTGAGTCAGGACAGTGACACAGTGCTGCCTCTCAGGCAGTCCAGGAGGGAGAGCAGCCCATGCGCAGAAGAGGGAGGAAGATAAGTATCCTAGAAGATGGAGAGACCAGCCCCTCATAACATATATGCCCGGCTCTGCTTGCTGCCCCTCCTGGTGGCCCTAGCTCAGTGCCTACCTCTTAGGCCTCAGTTTTGCCCAGCTGGGCAGGTCAGGTTGTATCTCTTCTGCGGCCCAGAGGGTAACAATAAGTGGTGACCACAGCCCCGTCACCTGGCTCTGTGCTGGAATGAAGTGGGGCATTGTACTGCTGGGCCTTGCATCTGCGCATTACTGTCAGTAGTAGTGAGGGTGCATCATGTACTGCTTTAGGCCCATAGGTCTCCCCAGGCCCTTCCTGCTGACTCTGTGGTCAGTGGCAAACCCAACCCGCTCCAAGGCACGTGTGTCAGGCGACCACAGACTGCTTGGTTGGGCGTCCATTCCCAAGGCTGTATATCATATGTACTGATTCCAGGGGCAGTGTGATGTGGAGGGCTCCAGCAGCCATCTTGCTTGAGCTCCTAGCCCACACACTGGGCAGGCTCGGAGAAGGTGAGCGCCATCCAAGCCCCTGCTGCAGTCTGCTCAGCTGTGGTGTCCTTATCTGGGCATAGCGAGGGCACGTGTGCTGGTCACTTGACTGGAGCGGCCCCTGCTTCTCAGCTCGTGCTGGTCAGCACGGTGCATTCATTTCTTGAAAAGGCCATGGTAAGGGTTTCCAAGCTGGGTCTTTGTGATCAGCATCTAGCCGTGGGGCCCTGCATGGGCCTGCTTGTGACGCAGTGTGAATGCTGGAGCAGGAGCACACTCCTCACCTTTACCCTTCTTCTGTCCCACAGATGCCTGTGTGCTCCTACTTCCTGAAGGGAATTTGCAACAATAGCAACTGCCCCTACAGCCATGTGTATGTGTCCCGCAAGGCCGAGGTCTGCAGTGACTTCCTCAAAGGCTACTGCCCACTGGGTGCCAAGGTGAGAGGCTGTGGGCGAGAGTGCAGGTGTGCATGGGTAGCTCGAGTTACCTGCAGCCTGGTCTCCAGCATCTTCTGTGGTGGTCATGTGGCTCCTCCACGGCCCTGAGGTGGTCACTGGCATTACGACCACCTCGAGGTAATAGAAAAGTAATATAAATCTAGCAACTTGCCCAGGGTCACATAGCACCAGCACAAGGTAGAGTTTGAAGCAAGGGAAAGTGAGCCCGATAGGACCTGTGTCTCCCAGGGAAGGCAGCAAGGGTGCACAGTGAAGGGAAGGCAGTGGTGTCTGGGCCAGGAACATCCCTAGGAGACTGCTGTGGGGCAAATGGGACACCGGAGATCTTGGGAATCACCATGCTGTGGATGGGTGGGGAGCCAGTGGCTTCCCTGGGATGGCAGGTGGTGGATATATGGTCCATTCCCAATTACCTGGGCCAGAGGAGCTGGGCCAAGGCCAGGAACGTCCTGTGGAGTGGCTAGAGCCCACTGAGGCACCCAGGACCAGTAGGGTGTTAGGAGCCCCTGGGCTCAAGGTGCAGCCAGCTTGCCTCCTTCTCCCACACGCCATCTTACCTGTTGGCCAGGCCCTGCTATGGGAAGTTTGCCACAGCTGAGTAAGCACAGCCTTTCCCTTGTGACTGTCTTAATCTGGGCTAGGCTCATTGGGAATCCTCTTCCCACAATTCCCACACCTGCTTCCAGCCTGAGGCTGGTGGCTGATGTAAAGGTGGACCTGGGCCTGAGGTGAGGTTGCCGCAAGAGAGCTCTGTAGCCCTCAGGGTGTCCTGGCACCCTGGAGGGGAGCCATGATGCATATCTTGGGCTCCCACAGCCTGGCTCACTGTTGCTCCTTCATCTGCAAAGCCTTGGGAAGGTTGGCCCTGCCTCAGGCCTGTAGACCAGAGGGGAAATCCCCAGTGAACCTGCGGTCACTAAGCACACCACCCCCTGTCACTGGCTTCACGCGCGGCAGGAGTGCTGTGCCCTCTGGACACAGCTCTGTCTGTAGTTGGCTCAGCTTTTACCCTGCCTCCTCTCATTCCACCCACCCACCAATGTAGCTGTGGCGCCCCCTTCTGGGGCAAACACTGAGGCAGAGGGTGCTGGATGTCAGCCATACCTCTGCTGTTGCACTGTTTGCTACTGGCTGCTGGAAGTGTGGGGCCTAACAGAGCCGGCGGTCACCTTGAAGGGCACCAGGCCTGGCAGGGAAACCCTTCCTGGAGGTGGACCTGGTAAAGCAGCTCCAGGCCCTGGCCCAGGTGGAGGCAGGAGCCCGTGGAGGGCATAGACGATTATTGTAAAATATTCCAATTTAAATGAAAATATCAAAGCGATATTTAAGTCCTGCTTCTATTAGTGGAAGTGCTTACTGTGTCCCTTTCCACGTGTCAGTGCTGCGTTGCTGCTGCATGATGGATAGCAGCTTGTAATTATATATGGGGAAAGCGCTGAGCCGGCCAGATCCAGCGGGAGGGGAGGCAGCAGCCTGGGCCTGTGAGGGTTAATTTTATTCTCTAAATAATATAAAAAACGCTGAGTTGTCACCTTGTGCCTGAAGTAGAAGTCCTCAAATGGGCCCCAGAGAGTTTATAATATTCCACTGAATCAAGTGAAATTGTTAACCTTGCTTCATAAAGCCATGGCTTGTTAAAGAGGCACATTCCTTTTTCTTTTGTTGTTGTTTTATTTTATTTTATTTTAAAGAGGATCTCACTATATACATGCCCCTGAAATCACTGTATAGCCCAGGTTAGCCTCAAACTTGTGGCAATCCTCCTGCCTCAGCCTCCCAAGTGCTGTGATTGTAGGTGGATGCCTCCACTCCTCACTCCCTTTTCTTTTGAATAATTTAGGCTGGGAGTAAATCTATGCACCTTTCCGTTCTGGGGGTTGTGAGGCTTTCTAGGGCATGTGGCTCAGAGGTCAGCTTTGGCCAAATGGCTAGTGCCCCCCCCCGCCCCCCGCCAGCTGTCCTGAGTCCCCTGGTCTTCAGGTCAGATTGATGACAGGATACCCGGAGAGCATGTGTGCCCTCCCAGTTACAGTGACGAGTAGCAGTGTGGCACTGTGTTTTCCTTCAAGTACCAGCTCGCCTCCATCACTTGATGGTTGTGACACAGCTATTCCTCTCCGAGACTCCTACCCAATTGTATGTGTTTTGTGGGAGAGCCTCCGAGCCTCAGGCAACTCCTGCCTGTGCCCACTAGTCTTGACAGCACTTGAGGTTTCTGGTTTGCCAGACTCTTCCACCTCTGCAGCCTGACTCCTCGTGCAGGAGGGCTCGAACCCCCCCCCCCCCCCCCCGCACTGTGTGTCCTGCTACATTCAGGCCTGTTTTATCATTACTGTCACTGTTTATCTTAGGACTCACATTGCCTGGATTTGGCCAGCAGGAGGCCCGTCCAGCTGTTCCTGTCCCTTGCATACACCCCAGCCTAATTTGTAGTGCTCTGGAAATAACAACCTGCCCAGAGAGCTCTGGTTCCTTCTGGGTGCATTTAAAACTGTGTGCTCAAAAGCTGGGTGTGGTATAATGCCAGCACTTGGCAGGCTGAGGCAGGAGGGTTTACACAAGTTTGAGGCTACATAGTGAGTTTAAGGCCAGCTTGAACTACACAGAAAGACCCTGTCTCAAAAAAATGGAACTGTGCGCTCTGCCTGGCATTGTGCCACACGCCTGTAATCCCGGCACTGAGGAGGCTGAGGCAGGAGGATCACTGAGTTTGAGGCCAGCCTGGGCTGCAGAGTGAGTTCAAGGCTAGCCTGAATGCATAATGAGACTCTGTCATAGACAAAAGCAACAAGTTAAAAAACCCAAGCCCTGTGTGCACAGGGTAGCAGTGGCTGTGAGCTGGGGTCTGCGGGCAGGCGTGTGCTGATGTGTTGGGTGACACCTGTGTGCATGTGTTTTGGTCCCCGGGCACCGTCCTGAGGTGGCCTGGGCTGCGTGTTGGGTTTCGACTCATGGCAGCTGCTGAGTCACACGGCCTCCCGGCCCTCGCCCTCTTGGCCAGTCACAGACACTCCCAACCCCTCTGCTCGGCTGCTTCCTGGTTTCGCTGCCCATCACCAAGCATTACCTTTGCCAGGGTTTCCATTGTGGGGCCGAACTTATCTTTTGTGGGACATAGTCCTTGCATTTTTCCATGCATGGTGCAGCACTACCACGAGCCATGGCCACAGGGCCTCCACAGGCTTCACTAGTCTAATGAGGCCCTGTGCATCCTGCTGGCCCTGCTACCAGGGGAGGCAGGCCACCCTTGCGGCCTCAGTTTCCTTCTGTGTGCATTTCTATTTGGGGTGTTTGTTTTAAGATAAGGTCTTGCTAATATAATCCAGGGTGGCCTTGAACTCACTATGTAGCCCAGGGTGGCCTCAAGCTCATGGTAAGCCTCCTGTCTCAGCCTCTTGAGTACTGGGATTATAAAGGTATATACTACCATGTCTGGCTTTTATTTTTTATTACTATTATTATTTTAAATCTATTTATTTGGTACAGGGTCTTACTACACAGCTCAAACTTGTAGTGATCCTCCTGTCTCAGCCTCCCCAGTGCTGGGATTACAGGCATGTGTCACCACACCTGGTTTCCGTGGCCAGCATGGTGCAGGGACTGGCACAGCATGTGGTACCGGGGATCAAACCTGGGTCCTTGTGCTTGCCAGTCAGGCCCTTAGACTGCCGAGCTATTTCCCCAGCCCTTTTTATTGTCTCCCTAGCCCTTTTTTGTTTGAGACAGGATCTCACTGTAGTTTAGACTGGCCTAGAACTCCCTTTGTGACCCAGGCTGATCTTGAACTCATAGCAACCCCCCCGCCCAGCTTTCCAGGTGCAAGGAATATAGGATTAATGAAAAATAATTAGTCTGTCCAAAGTTGGCCTAATGGCTCTGTCTGTCTCAGAACTGTGAGATCAGGGTAGGGGTGGTAGCTCACAGGCTGTTGGGCTGCTCATGGCCAGCTGTCATGCACTTGTGTGTCACAGGAGAATGCACCTAGTGTCTCTTCATGCAGAGAGTTCTCCTAAGTCACTCTGTTTTCTCCCTCTGATAGCAGTGGCCCCTAAAGGAAATGATTAACAGCTTATTGAGTTACAATTTATGTAACATAACTCACCCACTTCAGCGTACAGTTCAGTGGTTTCAAGTGTACTACTTTTGGGAGCCCGTGCTGGAATTTGAACCTGGGGTCTTATGCATGCTAACCAGAGCTCTAAGGCAGAGCTGCACCCCAGCCCCTACATTGTTGGGTTTTGGGAAATTGTACTATAGTACATTTGAAGTCTACCATTTAAACGATTTTTAGTGTAATTCTATTCCCTTTGTGATACTGGGAATTGCACTCAGGGCCTTCACACTACATCCCCAACCCTTTTATTTTGAGATTGGATCTCATCGAGTTGCTAAATTGCTCAGGCTGGGCTCAAACTTGCGATCCTCTTGCCTCACCTTCCACGAATGTTGGAATTACAGGTGTGCATCTCCATATCTAGATCATTTTAACAGTTTTTAAGTGGATAATTTAGTTTTTCCCTTTTTTTTTTTTTTTTTTTGCCAGCTCAACCCACCTTGAGGGCAGGGCTGGCGCAGCATGTGGTGCTGAGGATTGAACCACAGTCCCCTGCCCCTGCCTAAGCTTGCCTAAGCAGGTGCTTTAGACCACTGAGCTATCGCACTGGCCCCTAAGTGGATAATTTAGTGACTTTAATTATATTCACAATATTTATAACCATTACCACAATCAAATATTTTGTAACTTTTTCATTACCCCAGACAGAAACATTTTAAATCCATTAAACAGTAAGTCTTTTTCCCTCCCTACCTCAAACCCTTGGCAGCCTATGGGATCACAATATTTTTGTGTGTGTGTCTGGCTTCTTTCACGTTCATCATTTTTTTTTTTTTTTTTTTTTTTTTTTTTTAGTACCAGGAATTAAACTCAGACCCTTGCCAAGCAGGTGCTGATGCTACTGAGCTATACCCCTGGCCGAGCA